TCATCGCAGTACTATGAGATCTTGGGCATCCTTGTTTGTTGCTGTTTATAACCTTAGACTTATATAACAAAGGTAAACAAGCCAAATGACAGCTCCCATTGGCAAAATGATTTTGAAGAGTCCTTTTAATATGCTCTTGCCGGGGACGCCTGGATGGCTCAGTCGGTTAAGCGTCTGCCTTCGGCTCAGGTCATGATCCCAGTGCCCTGGGACAGAGACCCGCATCAGGCTCCTTGTTCAGCAGGGAGCCTGCTTCTCCCTCTGTCTGCAGCTCCCCCTGCTTGTACCCTTGCTCACTCTCTCTTGCTCACTCTCTCTAGCCCACACTCTCTCTAACAAATAAAATCTTACAAAAAAAAAAAAATATGCTCTTGCCAGAAAGCGAAGTTGAGTGTCCCCTGCCTGTATGGATGTGTTAGGCATATAGAGATCTACAAGGAAATATACAGAAATGAAATATCTGTGAAGGTGGTGGGATTATGAATGGTGTTTTTTTCAATAATTTGATGTTATATTTTTATAATAAAATTTTGAATGCTTTTTTTTAAAGATTTTATTTATTTGAGAGAGAGAATGAGATAGAGCATGAGAGGGGGGAGGGTCTGAGGGAGAAGCAGACTCACTGCTGAGCAGGGAGCCCAATGTGGGACTCAATCCAGGGACTCCAGGATCATGACCCGTAGCCCAAGGCAGTCGCTTAACCAACTGAGCCACCCAGGCGCCCAAATTTTGAATGCTTTTATCATCTAGAAAGTATTACTATTATTATAATATAAATCTTAACACTGAGGGTCTCAAGGTATAATGAGAAACAATTCCAGAACCTTCTCCCTAAAAGCAAAGCAAAACGGTTTTGGAATCCTACCCCAGGGAATCAGAAGTTTTGAAATGTAGTATCAAGACACTATAGCCTTGAGGTTAAGAGCACTAACTAGGGAATAAGTTACACCTGAGTTCAGATCCGATCTCATTAAGTTCTTCAATGTCTCAGACCTCAATGTCCTTATCTTTGCCATGGGAGTAATAATCAGGTATACTTCATCAGGATGTCAAAATAAAACTTTTTCTGGGCCAGGGCTCAAGAAACACTAGCCACTGCTAGTGTTACTTATCAAACTACTTTAGAGGTCCCCAAATCGGATACTTGGGGAAAAGAAACTATATGAAAACATTTACCCCATTAACTTAGGTAAAGTCTGCTAAAAATCAATTTGAAGGTCAAAATTAGATACACTTATCAAAATGACAAGGTAATACAAAGATCAAGTACAGATGGCTTATCTGGAAGTTGGAATCTATGCATTTTTAAAGCTAAACTTATTGAGGTTTGTTAAATACAGTAACATTTGCCCTTCTCGGGTGAGCAGTTTTGAGTTTTGAAGAAGGTATGCAATCATGTAACGACCACCGCAAGCAGGACCACATTTTCACCCCCTCCCAATGTGCTTTCCTTCCCCCCACCCCCAGGTTCTGTCAACCACTGACCTCATTTCTGTCCCTATAGTTTTGCCTTTTCCAGAATGTCCCATAAATGCAATCCATACATATTTGAGAAAACAATGCTGTGAAACTCTTTTAAACCCTTCTTTTTTAAATGTTATTTTATTTTAAAGATTTTACTTGAGAGAGCGAAAGAGAGAGAGCACGAGAGGGGGTAGGGTAAAGGGAGAAGCAGGCTCCCCACTGAGCAGAGAGCCCCGACGTGGGACTGGATCCTACAACTCCGGGACCATGACCTGAACCGAAGGTAGTCACTCAACCAACTGAGCCACCCAGGCGCCCTAAAACCCTTCTTAAAAAACATTTTGAGACATAATTTTTATATGGTGATTCGTGGCACACAGGATGTTACTGGTCAATCACAGGTGGATTTTGTTTAACCCAGGTGACATGCCTTGGCTTCTAGGAAGGCTGAACAGGTTTTCTGCTACCGTTGAGTCTCCAAGCTGAAGTTCTCTCTCTATGGCTACCCCTGTAGATCACGTTCTCTTCCTTTCTTTCCATTTTAACTGAAAAGTCTGATAAATAATGGATAACAGAAATGAATTTGGGCTTGCTGAACTTAAGACTGAACTAAAAGACTGTATGGAGCTCTAGGTGAGAAGCAACAGGACACGTGGGGAAAGTCTTAAAATTTTCAAGGCTTCACATGTTCTAATAAATCAAATAAGGACTTTTTAAATTGTAAGTAAAGCTGGGCGGGACCGGTAGAACATAAGAATGAAGAGTCAACTGTCCTTAGCTATGAAGTAAGCAACTGTGTCAAACAAAGTGACTCACTCTCTCATGACCAAGTGGCGCATACAACTGCCGGCGCTACTAGGGGATCACTGTGCACACTTATTGTTAGTTGCACTGTGCCCCTGGCAGGACAGGCCTGGGCAGGGAACTCTTGAGAATATGCCAACCGGTTTGGAGACAGTTTCTGACACTTGCTGGCCGTGACCTTAAATAAATCACTCTGACCTCTTTCTTGCCCATTTTTCTACACAATTGGAGGCTTGATCCTTTGTGACAGGCATTACGGATAATTTTCCCAGTTTATTATGTCTTAGACTTTTTTTTTTTTAGATTTTATTTTTTGACAGAGAGAGAGACAGCGAGAGAGGGAACACAAGCAATGGGAGTGGGAGAGGGAGAAGCAGGCTTCCCGAGGAGCAGGGAGCCCGATGTGGGCCTCAATCCCAGGACCCTGGGATCATGACCTGAGCCGAAGGCTTAACGACTGAGCCACCCAGGCGCCCCTGTCTTTGACTTTCTTAGGCTGTTTTTTGTCATGATGAAGTTATAAATATGGAGAGAATGTCCAGTTCACCAATCTTTTTTCCCTTATTGCTTCTAAAGTTTGAATCAAAGAGGAATTTACCTGTTTTCTTCTAATGCTTGCATGGTTTCATTTTTTTAATCCACTGTTACTACAGCCTCCAAGATGACCCCCAGTGATCCCCTCACATCCTGGTATTTTGGTGTCGTGCGTGTCCACATCGAATAGAGAAGACCAGTGTAAAAACAGCATACTACGGAAATGGCAGGTGACTTCTCAGGCTAAGTCATAAGACGCATTGTGGCTTCTTCCTCCCTCTCTCATGGGTCACTCTCTCTGGGGAAAGTTAAATGCCCAGTCTCAAAGACATTCAAGTGGCTCTGTGGAGAGGCCAGTGTGATGAGGAACTGAGGCCTCCGGCCAACAGCCATACAAGTGGGCTATCGTGGAACTGGATCTCTCAGGCCCAAGCAAGCCCCGGCCAATAGGCTGACCACAATGTCATGGGAGATACTGAATGAGAACCACCCTGCTAAGATGTTCTCGAACTCCTGAGCCACAGAAACTGTGAGGTAATGTTCATCATTGTAAGCCACCAAGTTTCAGAGGAATTTGTTAACTGCAATAGATTAATATATCCACAAATTAATTTTTCCTCTAAGCAGATCACATTAGATTTGAATATGATATTTGTATCCCTTTTGCTACTCCAGGGTGTATTCTTTGCTTCTGTTCTTGTTCTTAGCTACAGTTCAAGATAACTGAGGCTACAGGATGTGATCTGTGGATACATACATAAACTGGTATCACATAACCACAGAGCCTCCTAGGACCAACACAGCCGTGTGCAGTTCTTGAGACTGTTCTGCGTTGGTTAAGACCCAACCAAAGTATACCAATTTGCTACACACTCTAGAACCTGGTCATCTCACTCAGGAGTGACCAGCCTTTGGGAGAAGTAGCTGATATCAAAATAAACATTTTTTTAAATCTACAAAGCAATGGTGTTATTTTAGAGTGACTAGTGTGTCCCTTCTTAAGAGGCTTAACCATTCTGTGAATGGCTTCTCTTCTGTAAAATGGCAAAAACTGTTTCCACCTTACGTGGTTTTGTGAGGATTATACAGCTAATACTTACAAAGTTCCAAAAGCCTCACACACAGTAAATGCTTAATATCATTATTATTACAACTTCTAGGATTGAATAACCATTACTTCAATCTTCCAAGCTAGAACTTAACTCCTACCTGTCTCTTGCTCTGCATTTTCAACCAATTACCACGTTACATCAAGTCCACCTCCTAAATACTCTGTAAATCATTCCCTTCTGCCACCTTACCCTCTCTCCATGGCCACTCTCCTAGTTTAGGCCTTCATTATTTCTTATTTCTTGCCTAGCACAGTCCATGGGTCATCCAATCGAGTCACCATGCCGCTGTTAGGGTGACCTTTGAAGATATGGACTCGATCATATTACCTCTTTTTACAGCTTCCCACGGCTCACAGCACTGGAATCACCTGGGGAGTCAGGGAGTGTGAAAATACAGGCTCCAGGGTGCCACTCCAGACTCTACAATAGATTCTGAAATGATGGGTCTCAGAGCAGAAAGCCACATGAATTTGGGAAGCAGTTCAGGAAGGGGTTCCCCCACTGTGGATTCTGTGGACTCAAGGGAGATGAAAGCTGGTAGACCCTCCAGTAGGCCATGTGTCCTCCCTTGGCCTCCCTATGTGCTTCTCTCAGTATGTGGACCCATTTTTTGTTTGTTTCTGGGATGCAGCCAATACTGGGATTTGCACCTTTAGAAAATGATGCTAACAAAACCAGCCTGAAAACTGGCAGTGTCATCTGTGGATTCTCCCCCAGGAAATAACTGACATAAAAATGGCAACTCTTAAATGAGGCCCACCAAAAGAATAGTATATTTCATTCAAAAACATAACAAATGTCATAATAGCTATTGTGGGAGAAGCTGTTGGCAACTGATGAGGAGTTGTAAATGAGAAGATTCTGATTTAAACAGGCTCTAAGAGGACGCCTGGGTGGCTCAGTTGGTTAAGCGACTGCCTTCGGCTCAGGTCATGTTCCTGGAGTCCCGGGATCAAGTCCCATATCAGGCTCCCTGCTCGGCGGGGAATCTGCTTCTCCCTCTGACCCTCTGACCCTCCTCCCTCTCGTGCTCTCTATCTCTCATTCTCTCTCTCTCTCAAATAAATAAATAAAATCTTTAAAAATAAATTTAAAAAAAACCAGGCTCTAAGAGACATTAACGCATCTCTTGGAGGTGGGAGTATTACAGCCACTAAGAAAGTGAAGCAGAGAGAAATTCCCATCTCTAGGCCTGGGTTAAGCATCTCCCATGAAAGTGGAAATCAGCAAATGACCTAAGATGCTTAAGGTGGTCCCAGGTGCCCTGACAATAAAAGGTGTCCAGAACACAACAGAGATCACCCTGAGGAGCAGGGACGCAAGGAGGGCCTTTCGCATTCAGGCTGTGCAGTGAGAAACTCATAATTTGGCATCTGGTTCATCCATCATTTCCTCATCGGTGGTATCAGGTGAGCCGGCAAAGCTCAGAGACCTACCCTTTGGACCTCCTTCTCTGCCAAAGTTATACACGTTGGTGTTGAGCCGTGTGGTTCAGGGATTAAGTCTTAGTTCTTCGGGTTTGGTGGGGTAGGTGTCACCAGGCCTGGTGAAATAACTGCATCGCATTTTTACCATGGCAGGTCACGTACACCCCTAAGCGTTCCTGCTCTCCGTCCGAGTGTCCCGGGTGCGGACGATGAGGCCCTCCTTTCAGGCGGCTTGAACGACAATCCCTCGCGGGGGGCAGTGACAGCCGTAGTCCTACGAGTGACCCGACTGAGAGCTAAGGCACGAGAGGCGGTGCTGGTTCGCCTCGGCGCCACGCCCCTCCCACAGGCAGGCGCGGGTGAAGGCCAAACTGCCCAAATTCACCCGGCGCCCAGTGCGCGCGCCACGCCTCAAGCTCGTCCTATAAGACGCGGGCCTGGGTCCCCAAGCCCAGGACAACCGCTGGGGGCGATAGGGTCGGTGCGCAGGAGCTCCTGCCGCGCCGCAACCCGGAGCTCGGCAGCCTCCCGCCGCCGCCCGCCATGAACGCCTTCCGGCAGCCGCGCGCCAGCAGCTGGCGGCGGGCAGCCACCATCCTACTGGCGGCCGGCTGGGTGCGCCCAAGCCCCGCCGCCCCGTCGCTGCCCCCCGAGGGCTTCCGGCTGCTGCTGCTGCAGCGCTCCGGGAACCTAGGCTTTTTGCCCGGGGCGCACGTCTTCCCGGGGGGCGTGCAGAACACGGCAGACTGTTCGGCAGACTGGCTGCGCCTCTTCGCGCCGCACCACCAGCCGCCGCTCTTCGGCCTGGGCCCCGCACGGTCCCGGCCGGCCTCCTTCCCGGGGCTGCCCGACGGCGCCGCCGACCAGGACGCCGCGGCGCTGCCGGATGACGTCGCCGCCCGCATCTGCGCCATCCGCGAGACCTTCGAGGAGGTGGGCGTGCTGCTGCTGCGGCCCCGGGCCGCCCTGCCCGCCGCGCCCGAGCTCGGCCGGGCCCTCGCGCCGCCACCGGGCCTGGACGCCTGGCGCGACCGCGTCCGCCGCGACCCGAGCCACTTCCTGAGCCTGTGTGCGCACCTCGACTGCACGCCCGACATCTGGGCGCTGCACGACTGGGGCGGCTGGCTCACGCCGTTTTCGCACCGCGGCAAGCGCCGCTTCAATACAGCCTTCTTCTTGTGCTGCCTGAGCGAGCCGCCGGAGGTCTACCCAGACTTGACCGAGGTGGTGAGCTGCCAGGTAGGGCGTGCTGGGCCGGAGTGGGGACCCACGGGAACTTGAGAATGAAGGCCCCGGCCAGCAGCCAAGGCCCATCTGGAATAAGCCCAGCGTAGAGAGGCTGATTACAGGTGTTCTTGCCTCTGTCATGGGTCTACAGCTGGTGGACCTAATCTACCTAACGTCGTGGCTTAGCCTGGCCGACCTCAAACGTGCTCAGAACACTTACATTAGCCTTCTGCTGGGCAAAATCACCTAACACAGTCTATTTTATAACGAAGGATTAACTATCTTATGCAATTTATTGAATACTGGAAGTAACAGAATGGCTGTATGGTACAGAGTGGGTGTAAGCATATCCTTTGTTTACCTTCAGGATCTCATGCCTGGTTGTGAGCTTGCTCATTGCTCCTGGCCAGCATTACCAGTAGTGAGTAGCTAGCTGGGGGGAAAAAGATCAAAATCCATAAGTAATGTTTCCACGGAATGCATATGGCTTTTGGAGCATCCCAAGTTTGCGAAATTGTAAATTGAACCAAAGTCCAGTCGGTGTAGCTTCCTCAGAGCCATAGAGTTAGTAAGTCACAGAGTGGGCATGGTACTGAGGAAGTCCGGCCCTCAGCCCTACAGGCCAAAGCCAGGACCTTGGTGAAGTGCTTTCTGCTTTTCCCTGCTTCATAGTCCCAAGGCCTTACTCTGCCTCTCCCGAGGGAGAGGGCCCCGAGGGAGATCCCAGGAGTTGTACAGTGCTGCTCAGATGCCAGGCTCCTTCCTGAGCGCTTTACCTGCATTAACTCATTTCATGTCCACAATAGTTCAGTTATGTCCTCGAGAACATACTTTATGTGGTTTCAGTCTTAAATTTATTGAGACTTGTTTTTCTTTTGTTTTTTTTTTAAGATTTTATTTAACAGAGAGAGACACAGTGAGAGAGGGAACACAAGCAGGGAGCCTGATTCGGGGCTTGATCCCAGGACCCTGGGATCATGACCTGAGCTGAAGGCAGCCGCCCACCGACTGAACCACGCAGGCGCCCTGAGACTTGTTTTATGGCCACAAATATGGATCTGTCTTGGGGAATGTTCCCTTTGCACCTAAAAGGAATAATGCTGTGCTTGATGGAGTGTTTATAAAAATGTCAGGTTAAATTTATTGGTAGTGTCTTTCAGTTCTTCTGTACCGTTTTCTTGTTCTATCAGATATTGACAGAAATGCTGAAATTTTTTTTTTTTTTAGATTTTTTTAAGTAATCTCTACACCCAACATGGGGCTCGTAGTCACAACCCCAAGATCAAGAGTCACATGCTCTACTGTCTGAGCGAGCCAGGAGTCCCAGGAATGGTGAAATTTTTAATGAGTAATTATGGATTTGTCTTTTTCTCTTTTAGTTCTATTAGGTTTTGCTTCATGTATTTTGAAGCTCCCTTGTAAGGTGCCACATAGATATTTAGGACTGTTAAAGCTTGATGGGTTGACCCTCTATTATGAAATGTCCTTCTTTATCCCTGGCAATATCCCTTTTGCTGAGATCTGAAATTTACTCTGTCTGATGCTAATATAGCCACTCTGCCTTTCATTTGATTAGCAATAGCATAGTATCTTTCCTAGCCTTTAATTTTAACCTGTCTTTATATTTTTTAGAAGATTTATTCATTTTAGAGAGAGGGAGAGAAAGCATGAATAGGAGGGGCAGAGGGAGAGAGAATCCCAAGCAGACACGGGCTCATGACCATAAGATCATGTCCTGAGCCAAAACCGAGTCAGATGCTTAACCGACTACACCACCCAGGCACCCCTGTGTCTTTATATTTAAAGTATGTTTCTTGTAGGCAGCATATGGTCATGCCTTTTTTTTTTTTATCAATATGACAATTTCTACCTTTTAGTTGGGGGTGTTTAGATTATTTATATGTTTATATATTTAAGTATTTATATTTAATTCAAATCTACCATCTTGCTTTTAGTTTTTTTATTTGTCCCATCTATTCTTCACACTGTTTTTCTTTTCCTGACTTCTTTTGGATTATTTAAGTATTTTTTAAGAACCCTGTTTTATCTCCATTATTGACTTATTAACTGTATCTCTTTGTGGTTATGCTAGGGTTTGCCATATATGGGTTTCATTTCACGTATCATGTTAGAACCTTACAACAATATACTTACATTTCTCCCCCCATGTCTGTTAGCTTTTGTTGTCATACATTTGACTTTTATTGTTATTATGAACTCTACAATATACTGATTATTTTGCCTTAAACAATGTTTGAAAGACTGTGAAAATGAGCAAAAAATGTCTTTTATGTTTACCTTCATATTTAACATCATTAGCACTCTTCATTCCTTTGTGTAGATTAAAATCTACAACTGGTTTTTTTTTGGCCTGAAGAACTTCCTCTAATAGGTCTTGTATTTCAGATCGTCTGACAAGGAATCTTGTATATTTTGTTTATCTGAAAAATACTTTATTTTGCCTTTTTTTTTTTGAAAGGTATTTTGGCTGGGTATAGAATTACAGGTTAACAGTTTTTTTCTGTCAGTAAAGATGTTGCTTTGGTATATTCTGGCTTGTGTAATTTATGATGAGAAGTCTGCTTTTAACTCTGTTCCACTGTATGTAATATGTTTTGCTTTGGTTTGGTTTTTTTGGTGTGTGTGGCTACTCTAAATATTTCCTCTTAAGCATTGGTGTTCATCAGTTTGATTATGATGTGCATGGTTTTCTTTTTGTTTTGTTATTTATTCAGATATTTTTCACTTTTCCCTATTTTCTGGGACTCCAGTTACACATTTATGTTGGACTACTTGATAATGTCACTGATACCTTGTTCATTTTTTTTTTCAAATATTTTCTCTCTGTGCTTTATTTTGGATAGATTCTATTGCTACATTTTCAAGTTCTCTCATATGTAGCATCTAGCCTGCTGTAAATACTATCCTATGTATTTTTCATTTCAATTAGATTTGGGTACCGACCTAACAATTTCAAATCTCTGATTGCCTCTGGAATAAACCTTAGGAACCCCGACCTTTGTCTTCCACAGTGGTCATCTCCATCAGAGGCAACTGAGAGTTTCATATCAAAGGAAATTTGGTTTGCACCTCCACAATTTTATGAAATAAGAAGACTGGGAAACTTTGCCTCTCTCTCTGACTTGCACAAATTTTGTTTGGACGGTGCATCAGAAGGAATGGAAAGATGGCTGCCGATCACATTTTTAACTGCTGATGCAACGCTCCAGCTTTTACCAGGTAAGTCAGTGAAGCATCAGTGCTTTTTCACATTTAGTATTCACATTCAATGCACGGGGCTGTATGGCAGTATTGCCCAACACAGAGACATGAATTATCATCTGTTTTACACAGTATAGCAGTTTATTGAGTAAGATCTAATTCTATAAAATATCCATAGTGTTTATTATAACCAAAAGTTCTGATAATTCACCTTATACACACACATATACATTTATTTAAATGTTTCCCAGACATTGACAAAGTTCTTTCTTATATATTATCTCACTTTTTTACATTTTAATTTTGAATCATGAGAACAAACTGAAGTTAAGAACTTCTGTTTTCAAGTACACTTTATTAAGAACTGGAATTGTGAGCAATTGTCAATTTATTTGAATTGGGGAGTTTGTTGGTGGTCGATTGTTGGGCAAGTGCCAGGCGGGGGTTTTTATGGCAGTTTAGAGCAGGGCTTTGTGACCTGTCTCCCGGCTAGCTAATTCTCAGAATAGCGGTGATATTTGTTCCTCATCTTACAGTGGGATAGTTTAGTGCTTTTGATGTGTAAAGGTAATTTCTGTAATTTAACCTTAAAATTGTTAGAACAGCCCACATTGAAACCCAAAAATATATGGATATCAAGGCCAATATTAATATTGACGAGGATAAAGTGAGTCATGGGCCAGTCTAAAACTGATAGGTCATGATGAAAAAATACCAGTCATAAATACTTATGTGCCCAAAGAAAATTCTTGGCTGGGGAATGGAGAGGTGGGGGATGTGAGTATTAAAAACACAAGAAAGAAATTTAGGTAAGCTCATAAAATTAGAGTTACTTCACACCTGTCTCAGTTCCAAACACAACATAGATGAAAATAAATACCAATGTGTATGTCACTAACGTATTGGAATGTTTATAAAATAACACTGTGGAATCAAAATATTTTTCAGGAGATGAGCTGTACTTAGAAGATTCAGAATTCTTAGAAAATGTTATGTCCTCTGAAAAAAAGACTGAAGAAATCATGAAGGAAGGCAAGATATTTCACCGACTAGTGTTACACAGCCACCATGTATATAATCTCCACGTGACTATCCATTCGAAGTATAAACAGGTTTATCCTAAGACCTATGTAATAAGTAAGAGCCGTTTGTAGAGTATTGCTTATTTGTACTTAGTTGACCGCTTGAAGTTGTCCTGTGGAATACTGAGGGTTGACTAGACTTGCTTGGAGCGTAAGGACCTGCCCAGAAGTTATAGTAACAGTCCTTCACATTTCAAGTGCATTGGAGTACTTCCTTGCTTATTTCATTCTTCAAACCTTACAGTATCCCACAAGTATCAATAAAGTGCTAATGATCTTGATCTCAGATTGAGGAAAAAAACCTTTCACAAGGGTTTCCACTTCTGTATTATTTTATTATCAGAAGTTTAAATAAGATGTCCGGTATAGGGCGCCTGGGTGGCTCAGTTGGTTGGGCGACTGCCTTCGGCTCGGGTCATGATCCTGGAGTCCCGGGATCGAGTCCCGCATCGGGCTCCCTGCTCGGCGGGGAGTTTGCTTCTCCCTCGGACCCTCCCCCCCCCCCCCCTCTCCCTCCTTCTCTTTCTCCAATAAAAAAAAAAAAATTTTAAAAAAAAAAAAAAAAAAGATGTCCGGTATATTAGCACTTTCCTTGATGTGCTTAGGAGATGGATCCATGACCCCCTTAGATTTGCTGCTGGAATTAGCTGAAGGGTGTCTGATTACACAGGGGACAGTAGACTGAAATGACCTTCAAGTGACAGGGTCATTATTTTCTTGTATGTCTTTAGCTTGATGATTAACCTTCAATTCTGTTTACCAAATGGCCTCAGTTATTAGGTTTACCAAATGGGAAACCTGTTTTAAAGAAATATGAACCCATCACAGAAGCCATAATTATTTTTACTCTGGAGCAGTAGGTAATGAATACAAAGAGATTAAAGATCTGTAGAACTAGTCATCATTCAGTGGCGTTTTATTAATGATGCTTATTTTCAATATTTTTAATATGGGTAATTTTTTCATGTTCTCTCTTAAGAGGAATACTGTTTTGATTAAAGATGGGAAATGGCTAAGACATCAATTCTGTTTCAGATCCTTGACAATGTTATGCATCATACAGTGGATTTTATTTTTCGTGAAATGTCTTAGTTTTCCTACCTATAAAATAGAGGTATTAATGAATAAGGTATATGTGTATTACTTGATCTTGGCTAGAGGAATACATCTACATTAGTGGTTCTCCACTCAGGGCACTTTTGCCCCTCAGGAGACATTTGGCAGTGTCTGGAAACATTTTTGGTTGTGAGAGTGAGATGCTTCTACCACCTAGTGGGGAGAGGCCAGGGATGTGGTTAAATAGCCTACAATGAATAGGACTTCTCTCCACAATAATTATCTGGTCAAGGTTGAGAAACTGATCTAAAGTAAAATCTGTTTTCTTCAGTGAATGGTTCCAATATGTAAATTTTGAGAACCATATACTGTTAGCATTCCCTCTGGCTTCTGGACCTACAGAAGTTCTCCTTACTGATTTTTGGCTTTGGGCATAATACTCTTTCATTCTCACAGAAAACAGAATGTTATAGCTGGAAGAGAACTCACTGAACACCTTTCTTTTGCCAATTAGAAAACTGAGAAACAGATTCACACAGCTTGTTAGTGCCATAACCAAGAGTAGAACCTGATGCTTTGTCAAGCAGGTGACATCTGTTACCTACCACCAAAAGCAGAAATGGTAACAACTCTGCCCACTGCGCCTTGGTATCATAGTCACCAAGGAAAGCACAGCACAGCCAAGCATTGGATGGAATAATGCTGTATTCACATAGAGAAGAGGCAGAGCAGAATCTGCTCCAGTAGTTCATGTCAGGCCCCCACGGCCCGCAGGTATTCCTTCTGCAGCTGAAAGAGAGCAGTTGGCCTGCAAACACCCCTCTTGTGCTACAGAAGGACCCCATCTTCTCCTGCAGTGGACAGATACAGTCGTGGGATTGGCCAGGGTCCTATGACACACATGCTTACGTAGAGCAAAGGAGGACAACATTGAGTCTCAGACAGGGAAACACATCCCACACAAGGCGATGAGGCCAGCACAGGCTGTGAGGACTCTTTCTGTTGGTAGGGGAGTGTTCCAGGCTCACTTAGGTGTCTGGGAGAGAGTCAGAAAACTGCCTGGTACCGCCTTTCCCAACCCTCCTAGTCCTGCACCCTTTTTGCTAGAGTTAACGTGGTTCAGTGGGTGATTTTAGGAGACGTGACAAAGAAACGTGACGTAGTTTCTTCATAACGATGTATTTTTGTCTCTTTCTCATCTGAATGAAACCTTGTCTCCTTCCAAGAATTCCTTTTGGAAGACTGTCCCATGACTTCCTACCTGTTGTGATACCCTAAGGCCCCAACACAAAATAATAGGGCCATCCTCACGAGCCAAAAAGTGTTTTAGAGCCCAGCTTGCGAGAGTTTGTGGCATTTACCATATGCTCTTTCTTACCTCATGTATTCAAGCCACCTAGGCCTCAGATGCAGAAGCAGGAAGCTGATCATGTGTCCCTACTCCTCCTTTTAGACCCCTTCCTGCCCATGCCGTCATCCCTACTCCATGCCATCTTATCCACCACACAGCCAGGAAAACTCATTCTCTATGATACTCTACAGTCTCTTGAAATTGAAGTTAACAAACTCAGGAATAAATACAAAGTCAGTATTCGTTTCCATTCCCTACCTTCCTTTGCTGATTCCTTTGAATGATTCCACAAGAATCCAAAACTGGGCAGGCATCAGCATTTCAGGTTAACATGTCTCGTCCTCACAGTTCTTTGTGAATAAAAATAAGAGTGCCCTTGGGGCGCCTGGGTGGCTCAGTTGGTTAAGCAACTGCCTTCGGCTCAGGTCATGATCCTGGAGTCCCGGGATCGGGTCCCGGGATCGGGTCCCGCGTCGGGCTCCCTGCTCGGCGGGGAGTCTGCTTCTCCCTCTGACCCTCTTCCCTCTCGTGCTCTCTATCTCTCATTCTCTCTCTATCTCAAATAAATAAATAAAATCTTTAAAAAAAAATAAAAAAAAATAAGAGTGCCCTATTCTGTGGGAGACAAAAAGGGCTCAGATATAAGAGGATTTCTCTTCCGAGGGATTTTGGGGTGGGGGAGCCCTCACATTTGGGCATATGCAGTTATTTACTGTCTTTCCTCAAACCTCTGTTTTGTTTTTAACTTCTCTACAACTGTTGGCAGTTTTCCACTCCTCCTTCCTCCTGTTTAACCACTCATCCTCTCTAACTTCTCCTCCAACTGACCTTTAGCTCTTAGAGCCTCTCAGTACCTGTTCTCAGACCCTCTTCTGCCCTTGGGTGAGGTAAGCAACTTCCAGGTCACATCCTTTAAAAAGAAAACTGCTTGCTCTCCACTTTCTCTTTTCCCTTCTCAATGGCTGAACATTGTGACAACTGGAGCAGCTCCCTGGGACCCTGAGACAGAAGCCAGGTGTTAGGACATAACTGCCTGCCAGACTTGGGCTGCTCACCTCTTGCTTGTTATGTGAAAGAAAATAGAAGCCACTACATTTTGGGGTCTCTTTGTTAAAACAGTTAAGCTTGTTTCCTAACCTATAATTTTCCCTTTTAAGCAGGTTTCCTCAGCCCAGTCTTCCCTATATCAGAAATCTACCAATTATTTAAGCTAAAAATATCAGTCATTCTCGATTCCACCTTTTCCTTTATATTCAGGTGACTAGCAAGTCCTGTTGATTCTGTTGCCCACAATTATCTGAAATTTCCCATCTTCTGTCCTCTGCACTGCCATCACCTTAGTTGAGCACGGTTCTATCTTACCTAACCAACTCTTTAACAGCCCTGTAACCAATGTAAGAGCTAGTCTCTCCATCTTCATTCTTAACCTCATGATGAATTCTCTCCTATTGAACTGGAAAAGTGCTCTTGACATCGAAATGTAAGCCATGTCCTGTCACTGCCTTCATTAAAACCCTTCAGTGGCTTTTCTTCACACTTAAAAACTGAATTAACTGTGGCCTGCGAGGCCCCACCTTTCTCTCTGATTTCATATACCCTTCTTCTACGCTCCCATCAGAAGGGTCTTTCTGTTCCTTGATCATTCAAAGTTCTTTCCCACCTCAGGATCTTTGCACATATTGTTGCCTTGAAACAAACGTGGATCTCTTGACTTTTTGTTCTTGAGTCTCTCTGTTACTACTACCTCAGGAAAACAGATGAGGATGAGCACCCAACATGCCGATTGTTGGCATGTATAAAAGAAGATTCCAGGACAAAGGGAAGAAAAGCATTATTTGGAATAAAATTTCCTCAAGCTGAAGAAAAATGTTGATCTTCAGATAAAAAGGTCCTGGTGCTGTCAAAGGAAAATTAACAAAAATTGTCCAATATCCGGATGATATTTTGGATTTCAAAGATAATGCAGATTTTCAGGAAGAAAAAGAGAAGATTGCTCACAAAGGTAGAAAATCAGGCTTCTGAGTGTGTGTCACAGAGTAACAGGATATACTGAGCAGGGGAAAAGGATGTGTGTAGTCAGTAATTCTATCGTGTGAAAGTCACGGATACAATTTTCATTTGCATATGGGCTCTGAAAATTCCACCTGTTCTGAAAAAATCCACTTGATAGAAATATTATGGATAACTGAGAGACTAATCAAAACAAAAACTTTTTAAGGTAGAAGTATATGGTAGAAGTCCTAATGGTGAGTGTGGCAATCAATCAAACATAGGAAGTAAATGTGAATAATATGTCTATAAAGTACTGTAAATGTTTTAAAAAATTCATATTTTATAAATTCAAAATGGATGAAAGACTTAAATGTGAGACAGGAAACCATCAAAATCCTAGAGGAGAACATAGGCAACAACCCCTTTGACCTCGGCCGTAGCAACTTCTTACTAGACACATCTCCAAAGCCAAGGGAAATAAAAACAAAAATGAACTATTGGGACTTCATCAAGATAAAAGTTTTCTACACAGTGAAGAAAACAATCAAAACTAAAAGGCAGCCTATGGAATGGGAGAAGATATTTGCAAATGACATATCCGATAAAGAGTTAGTATCCAGGTCTGTACTTCTGAAAAAAATAATGCAATATATGTTAAGAAAAAAAAAAAAGAAGAAGTTAGCAGGAGAGGAAGAATGAAGGGATGTAATTCGGAGGGGGCGACGAACCATGAGAGACAATGGACTCTGAAAAACAAACTGAGGGTTCTAGAGGGGAGGGGTGTGGGGAGATAAGTTAGCCTGGTGATGGGTATTAAAGAGGGCACATTCTGCATGGAGCACTGGGTGTTATGCACAAACAATGAATCATGGAACACTACATCAAAAAC